AAAATAAAAAATAATCCACAAACCTTACTAATTATTTTTACGATTCATCCTGTATTATTTTCCCAACCCGTTCAGTGGTGATTACTGTATTGGCTAACAAGCGTTTTTATATGCATTCATAAGTAAAGCAACAGTATTTGTCATAAAATCATGCAAAATTCGTACCAGCATAGTTAGTAGGGTTTAAGTTAATAATATTAACAAAACATACACTTTTTGTGATAAATTTGATGTTATTTACCTTTATAAAGATAAAATCAAAAAATACATAGTAACATGGTTTTTTTTTCGGAACAGTAAATATTGACATACATCAAAATTTTTGTTGGTAAAAATAAAGTAAAAAAAATTTATTTATATAAATATGAATGAACCCAGACTTTGGTAAAATAATTCAAGGAACGACTTACATTAAAATGTATTTACAGACTTAAAATACGTTACCTGTCTTATAACAAAACATTTCATTCTTTGGAACAATAGCGAATTGAAGGAATATAAAACCATTCAAAGCTTATTAATAATGTGTATTATATAGTGATGTTTTATAAAATCATGCTTTCAGGTAAATACCTATATTATTAGAGAAGATCATAGGTAGTCAACTGAGCAATAAGAATTAATATATTGTAGACATTATATTTTAGTACCTACGTTTTATTCTTTAAAATTTTAATAAATGCTATAATTTTTTCAGCAAGATTTATAAAAAGTAAAATTATTACATTTATTTATTTATTTATTTTTTTTTTGATTGAAAATATTCCAATTAAAAAAAAAATAATAATAATAATAATTATAATACATTTTGTTAATTTTTATTTTAGCAGTCAAACATATAAGAAAATTAAATAAAAGAAAAGAAAACACTGTATTAATATATTATATAATATATGTTGTTGATATATATAAATATATATACAAGATAAATATGTGATAAATGTGTGACAAAGAGATCAGAAAATTTTGATTTAAACATAATTATTATTTCATAGGTATTTTAATGAATTCGTGTTTAGAAAAATATCCAAATTAGTTTTAAATTTCAGTTAAAATCAAATGCACGTACAGTAAATGCTGTTGTTTATTCGTATACATTAAAACATAAGATAGTTTCTACGATTTTTCAAAGTAAACACATATTGATAAAAATGTAGGAATTAGTTGTAACGACAAGAAATGTTTTTTTTTTATATTTTAAATATTTATCTTCCATCAACTCCGAGATTAAAGAATAGTAGTATATAGTAAAAAAAATATATATTGCAATGATTTAAACTTTATTGTAAAAAATGAAAAATTGGAAGACCAAATTATTTTTAATATTTTATCCTAATTATTTACAAACGATTAAAAAAAAAAAAAAATATTTCATTTAAAAATTATTTTAATTATGATTAATCTAAGTTTATAATTTTATTAATGTGATAATTTGTTTTTTGTTTTGATTCAAAGTAAATATTTTTAAATCATTGGGCAAAATTATACAAATTGACGAATTACAAAAAGTATAAATAAATTTAATATATTAGTTTTCTATTGGAAAAGGTTATAAATTAACATTTATTAACATTTAAGCCAATTTAACGGAAAACAACTACAGAACTAATGAAATTTGATAATTGATATAAGTTGGTCTATTTATACATTGATTTTTGAACTACCGACAAGAGGTTGGTATCTTGAGCGTTTTCCGGAAGTTAAGCTGTCATTTATATGTTATATGATAATGCATAAAAAGGAAAAAAAGAGTGATGATAAAGAGGTTCCTTTGAGGTACCCATTAGTATTTTAAAAGAGTTTGACATAATATTACCATGTTAAACCATATTAATTCTATTCAATATAGAATAAGTGATCAGTAAAAAATTGTAGTCATTATAGTTTTACTGCTGTATAATTATAATTAAGTTGTATAGATCACTGAAATATTCCTGATAGAAAATTGATTTTAAACCGGGTATCGAGTATTAGCTGAGTAAGCATTTCAATATTATAGAGCAGTGGTCTTCAAAATTTTTCGACCTCCGACCCACTTTTCTTACCAAACGTTTTTCGCTACCCATGTCAACTTCGTTAGCCATGAAAACCAAATAAAAAAAGTTAAAATCGCTTAATTTATATCATTGTAGAAGTGCTTTTATAACTGAATAAAATATGTACATTTTGAATAAATTTTATAGCTCAAGATCCACCGAATCGATTTCAATAAAAATGTTAGGGCATATTAAGATTGATATGTAGATGGTTTCTGTGAAGTTTGTACGCTGTGCGATATGTGGTTATGGCCTCTTAAATGTACAATATTAATCAGGCACGCACGTCATATGTGAAATTTTTTTTTTATTGATATTATATTGATGTATGCTACATCGTTGGATGTGCTCTGAACGTACGAACTAAGATATGAAAGAGAATTTCACTATTGTCGATAAATAACGATCTCGGAGAGATTTTAGTTTGCGACTAATTTGATGACGTCATATATGTATTATATTCGTTTGTTGCTAGGGGATCGAAAAAAGAAAGAAGGTAAATAATAAACATCTGATTTAAGAATTGCATTTAGAGAAAGCAATAACTGCACACGGGCGAATTCTATATATGGGCTACGAAGTGCACGGGTTCAGCTGTATTTTTTTTCTAGATATCTAGTAAATATTTTAATTTTTGCTATAGTAATGATACCAAAAAAAAATGCATGTAATGATACCAAAAAAAGTATACGTTATAGTACACAAAATAAATTAGTGCGATATTTGTCTCGGACTGTTTTTACACGAAATACCTCCACCTCAGCTCAATTTCACACAAATTAATAGATTTAATAAGTTAATATATATGAAAAATAAATTAGTTTTATGGATTAATTCGAGCTATACGATTACTTAATTTGATTGTTCATTCTATTTTTTTTTTTTTTTTTTTTTTTTATTTGAAAATGAAGGTTTCAACAGTAAAAATTATTAGTTAGGTATTGTTAGGATGTTATATATTAGATGCATTAGGTGTTAGATTTAAAATTACAATATTTTGTATGACACATTATATAGGTGATGTTAGATGTAAAATTAAGATTTACTAATAATATTTGTGATAGGTACTTAAGAATGTGACAATTTTCAGAGTTTGTTTTTCACTAAGTACTTTTACCATGATGGATGGCATGTTCAGGTCGGTGCGTATTGAGATATATTGTGTACACTCTTACACTACGTAATCAACAGTTAATGATTAGTGGCATGTGTCGCATATTGGTTTTTGTTTTTTTTTTCTAATTAGGTATGAGTGTATAAAAAAAAAAGTGTTCATTCTAATCTTCTACAAATTTAAAATTGTATAAAATAGAACGGTTTTGGGTTTATTCGAAAATATTTTTATGCAATATCATACGACATACATTATATAATATATATAAATAAAAATTTTCTAAATGTTAAACAAAAAATTTATCGCGACCTAATCTTAAAGCTAACGCGGCCCAAAATTAGGTTGCGATCCACCGGTTGAAGACCACTGTTATAGAGTATCGAGTAAGGCCTGAGTGAAAATGTAGCTATGTGATGGGTACTGGGTAAGGGCCAAGACTTAATAATGACATCGAGTATTCGACTATTGAGTAATTGTCAGGTACTCGATATATATCTATAGATTATTAAATATTTGATAAACAATAAGAGTAATTTGATAATTGCATAATCGTTTTACTTCAGATGTTAAAGTAGAGAATAAATGAAAATAAGAGTGCAGTAAAGTCAGTCAAGAAATAAAAATGTACAATATTTCCTGAATGCATCATTTGGTAAAAAGTGTCAGTGTCGTAAATAAAGTTTAAAACTGTCTGAATATGTTATCGATAATAAAAGTAAATTCAAAAAGCAATGAATGATATTTTTTTAACGTCATTATAATAACCAAAATAATAATATATATTTTAGTTTAATTTGAAATCGATACCTCAAAAATGAAAATTGTGTTGTATAATGTACCAAATGATCAAAAGAAAAAAAACATTCGACCACATTATATTTATTTATGAAAAATTAATATATAAAAATCTTTTGGTTCGTATCGATCTAGACAATGTATAGACAACCATAGAATAGATAATACCTAAATAATATTTATATATAGTATTTCATACCCTTTTATTACGGTACTGGTGTTGATAAAAAATAAAAAAATTAAATAATGATAAATAAATAAAAATTTGTTCCATTATACTTTTTCCTTGCAGTGACTTATCTGAGTCGATGGTTTGGTAATACTTATACATATATCGTTCAACCTTAACAATATTTTGAATCGACACGTATATTTACTGCATAGTTAGTAGTAAATGTGATTATATCACAAAAACACTATAATCGTTTACAGTAAGCGAATAACATGTGATTTTTCTCGATTTTTGTATTATTTCCGATTTTTGTAGTATATCATATCACGCGTTTATATTTAGCAGTTTAAATTTGAACTGAGTAAATTTATCATCATGAATCAAATGATTATAATATAGTATATAAGTAAATATGACAGGTACACGTATACTGCAGTCGAGATTACAATACGTCATGGATGTTATTATTATTATATTTTTTTTTTATCAAATACGACGATGCCAATTTATATCATTCGAAGAACATTTTCTATAATCCAAGTATTAATATTATGTTATATTAAATATTGTACTCGTTATAATAACATTTAATAATAGATCAAGGGGACTGCGCGAAAAACTGCAGTACGCAAACTAAAGATAAACTACGCGTATCTCCGACAATTTGACGCGAATTGTGATAAAATATTTGATTTTCACTCTCTGCTCATTTCGGGCTTAACTCGTGCGGTCGCGCGAAGCGAAAAAGCATTTATTTAATTCGATCGAACTTCTTTTGTTCTTTCAGTTTCTCCGTCACGAAACGAAAACAATACAAAACCTAATAACGTTAACGGGTGTACAACTTATGTAACAATAAGTATGTGATGATATTTTAACTCACTGGATATCCATGATCCGTTGAACGAGGGCGCTTTGAATGTGTCCCCGACGATTTGCTCGACCGTAAACTTACTGCCGAGATTCCGAGGACCTTGGTACGGCGGTGACAACAGTACGATGAAGAACACGATCAGTCCTAGCACAGCTACGATGACCAGAAGCGCGATTAGTATACCGCGCCAGTTCCTCTCGTTCGGCGTTATCACGACCAATTCCTGAAACCAGAACATACAATTCAATATTATTGTTCCTTTCCAAACCACCGCAGTATCGTTTAAAACTATATTTTCACGGGATTCATCATACCCCCTCCGACTCAACGTTCATGATACATCCAGACGCGTACACGAAAACATATATCTGGAGAGAGTTTTCATAGTTTTCAGAGGTTACGGTAACAAAAATGGTTCACTAGTAACAAATAACGATGGGAAATGAGATTTTCTTTACATATATATAAAGAAAATCAAATTATATATAATGCAATATCGATTCACGCGGATAAAAACATTTTCATTTATATTTTTGTTTTCTAAAAATTTTATGAAGAAGAGCGTTGAATCCTTGATTCCCTTCCCTTGTTATGCAGCTGAATATATTAACATCGCGAATCTAACGACCACGCGTTTCAATAATCACAAATTCATAATATAATATTATGATGTTTCGTAATCGTGTATACATGGTTGGCTGGATATACATTCAAAACTAATGTTATCACGCACTCATTGTTAAATTATAATACGGGCGCATCCGAACGAAATATTACACCTAGTATGTAAATCGACTATGTTAACCTTCACGCTCGAGTAGAACTCGAAATAATATATACCTATTGATCTGTTTTTAGCCGGATGAATCTAAAACAAATCGAAGTAAAATTCATTGGGCTATTAAGAAATCACGAGCTATCGTCATACATTCAATCGTTTTTGAATATATTTTCTTCACGATTCAGTTCAAATAATAAGTTATTTCAACTTTTACTCAAATCAAAGTATTAATGTGTAATTTATTTAAACTATGAACTCAACAAAAATAAAAATAAAATACCGATCCTTACTGTTCATCGTTATGATTTATTTTTCTCTTATTTTGAATGCATTATATCAATTTCGGAAAAATCTAATTTCTTGCGGTTTAATTATTTCTGTTTCGTATTTCTCGTAAATCAACAATGTATTCATTAGTGTCACTTTATTGAAAATAGATATCAATAAATCGGTCCGATAGCTTTGTTTGAAACATGGTTTTATTGCTTCATTAATAAAAATATAAATTTGATAATCAATCAAACACTTTTATTATTGGGTATTAAAAATTCGTGGTTGTATATATTTTTGTTATACGAATACAAATTATATTACATTGACAATTATTTAATAATGATGTGTTATTTATTTTCATTAATAATATGCTGAAAAAACTATTTGAAAAATGTTTGCATGCAACATCTCTATATAACAGTAACTTATATAAATCAGACTTATGGTATATGGTAATCGTATGCTTTTTGAAATATTTACAATTTTCATCTTGAATGAATGTTTTCGTTCAATCTAATTCAATACTGTAATACAGTCACGTTATACTGTACACAAAAATTATACAAAAATAATACAACTATATTTTGTGTATACCAAGGAAATACGTGATTCGGATTGTTAAAGGGGATTATTATGTGGATAATGTGACGTATTTGGCTAATTTGCTATATTTTTTTGTTAATTTGAAAAATGTATTATTTGATTTTATATTAGTTTAATAGTTTTTATGAGAAATATAATGCGTGATACAAATTTTAGATTTTAATTTATAAAACCAGAAATCAATTTATATGTACATATAGTAAATTAAATATTTCTTGGCAAGTTATTTGTATACGGTGTAGAACGTGTGGGTTTTCACGTATTAAATTTATCGGTACATCGCATTTTAATAACGTCAAACGGGTTATTGTTTAATAGTTTGTGAATACATGCAAATGAACTCGTTAATTTTAATTTCACTCTATATTTTATTTTCAAATATATTGAAGTTTACTGAAAATGTTTCATTACAGGTTAGATAATAATGGGTTATTTTGTAATTGGAACCATCTTCACTCCCGTACGTACTTTATAAAATAAGCTTATTTTATATACTTATTTGTATACTAGTATTCTTAATAAATACATGTTAAAATATTATTTTCTTAATTAGGAAGTTTATATTACTTTAGATGCAATGTACTAAAAGTTAAAATGTTTTGATTATTATTGCATGGTAGTAATATAAGTATAAATGTAATGGACTGTAGGTTATGAATAAAAATTTTAATCTAATATGCTAAATTTTGCTATTCTATCTATACTGATATATATATATATATATATATAATTTATATATCATATATTATACATTTTAAATATCGGTAATCATATTACATATTTATTTATAAATGTATTTGGAAAATCGTAGCAAATCGACGTATTGAAAAGAATGGATTCCTCTGAGTCAGAATGTATGTCATAACATTTAAGTAAAACTTAAATGTTTCATTTTAAATGCATATTTTAGTGACACCAATCATGTATTCCGTGTTACGTATATACGTGTTATGTATACATGTTTCTAATTCTACCACACAAACGTAATGATATTTGAATTGAACTCTAGAATTATAGCCAAGGGATGTCGTGTGATGATAGTGATATTAGTAGTAAAATGTTTTGTTTCTAACACCTTATTATATAATTCATAAGTTGCGTTAATGACATTTATTATTTTTCTTGATTCATAATTTATATACATCGAATGTATAGTGATAAATTGTATTATATCATAATAAAACCACGTAAGTTCATTTTATCAAACAATTATTTTATCCAAAGATATTATGACTGATATTTTTTTGTTGCTGGAGTTTTTCATATTCGTGAAATATGAACATATAAATATACCCTTTCATTGAAATAATCACAGTCATATATTCAATTAATTTAAAAGGAATATATAACTTTTTCTTTCAATGTTTCACTAAATTATCGTAACCTATAAACTGTAAAAAGCACTAAAAAAAAAAAAAAAAGATTATAAACTATTTATCTATCAACAAAAATTGTTAAGGATTCATTATTAATATATATATATATATATATATATATTTATATAAATGTATATCATGTATACCCGTATATATTTAGTGTAGGGGTTGTTTCCGAGAACCATTTATCCGTTGCGCGTAGCTTCGATTACATTAACGGATGCTGTAGTGGTCGAAGCTGGCCAAAAAAAGGACATTATTGTGTACGCGTGCTTGCATTCTTGCCCGTTTTAGTGATACGTACCTCATGATGATGAAAATTACGGCACACGCAAATATATGATTTTATTCGTTGTTTTCATCCGATTGTCTACCATGCATAAATCCACTTGTTTCCACGCGGTTTCCGTCGTGGTTAATTGCACGGCCAGCAATTCAATGTGATCAATTGCGATCCACCGTCCAGGCTATCGTCACAGCGTAGCGGCCGATTTCCTCCGGTTTCAGTGATGACCTGACTAGGGATCTGACGGAGCAACTGTTTGCTGACCAAAACGGGGCTGATAGGTGGTAATTGCGTATGACGAAAATATTCAACAAATAATTTGTGCGCATTCGATGCGAAAAACTATAACGTATAGTTTCGTCTGAACCTGTTAATCTTGATATTCACTCTGAATGTATAACTTTCATTTTGGTCTGTGCATTCGGCACGCGTAACTGCTTCATTGGAAAACGAACTTCCATCTACAATGATGCTCGTCGTGTTGGTGTATTGCGGGACAAATATCACGGGTTCGTACCATTGGTTTTTTTATGATTGGACCAGTCGTTCAAATTGACAATGGCCACGTCTTAAACGGCAGCTACCGGAGACGTCGGTATGTGTGTGATACCATTTACCATTAAACGGTGTAAACCGGTTTTCGACAACAAAAACATAAACTCTTAATAGAAAAGATTAATGGTAATCGTCAAACCATTAGAACGGGTTTTCAACAGTATAACGGGCAACTATTCACATTTTTTTTTTTTTAATAGTTGTTGTTTCCGTTTTTGAAGACTTGTTTTTATCGAGTTGAACGCGAACGATTCACAAAGACATTTTATCGCTGGTATCTCGAAACTGCTACCGATTTCAAAAAACATGTTAGCTATCACGAATCTGCGTGTTATTATATTTTTTAATCAAATAAATCAATATTATTGGGTAAAGTAAAAATCATATTCAAGAGAAAATATCAAACTGACGGTAAATATAAAATTTAATTGTACATTATTTTTTTATAATTATTTTAATCCGCTTAGAGTTACATCATAATTAATAAAATTCCATAACATCAGTTTTATTTTTATTAAATAATTTTTTTCGGTCGTGTGTTACATTCATTTTTGTGCTATGCAGTATATTGTACCCGCTACATGAATGTATTACTTTTGCCTATGCAAAATGCCGTGTTATTAATAATCATTTAATTTTCATACGTTTCAACGCGTGTATGCCAAAATTTACTATGATGTCTTACGATATCATAAAATTGTATGATAAAAACCTTTTTTACCAAAATTAAGCGAGAGCCGTTTGAAATATAACGGGACAAAAACGAAATGCATCCCGAAGGTGCCCTGAGTAAATGATGAAATAACGGACTCGTGTCACGAAGAAGATGTTTGTTATTATTATTTTATAAAATGACGTTCGGTAGGGGTAGTGAGTGGCGTGCGAACGACCGAGAGGTGCAGAGCAAAGGATAAAAACATAAATAAAATTGAAAAATCACAGAGATAAGATTATGTGTGTCCCGTCGAGCCCATCATTAATCTCTGGGCGCAACGACGAAACCCGGGTGTATTCACACGAACTGTTTTCCCCGGGAAATATTGCGTTATTTGAGTCGGACGACTACTATGGTAATTTTTCGATAACAAACGTTTCGGGGCCACTACTCGGGGATGGGAAACGGGCGCGCAACATGGTGTAAACAATTTTTTTTTTAACATCATCACACATAAATCATTATATTCTGATCTCGAATTATTTTCAAATCTAACTTTTTATATGAAGACACTATATTTCAACGTTAGATGGTGCTCAATGATAATTATTATGATAGTATTTTTCAGTAAAGCGCCTTATCAATGCACGCATACACTCAGAGCATCAGGTTTGCCGAGCGTACCTTGCATTAT